TTGAAATGCAAAAGGCTCTCAAGATTTTGCAAGGCTCTTAGCTCATTTAAGTTTAGAAAATAATAAAGGGTATTTGGAATTTCTTAAATAAATCAGCACAAAGCATTAAGGTTATTAAGTAACTTAAAGCTCATAGATTTTTGTCTAAAAAATAAAAAATTAAGAGTTTGGATAAAGTAGTGATTGCAAAAAATTAGTACATGATAAATAAGTGTTTATTAAAAATTATATATAATTTACATTATTATGTATATGGTTAATTTTAAGCAGATATGAAGACTGGATTTAAGTAAATTTATTATATTAAAACAAAACATAAGAACCTAAAAGATTAGAAATGAGGTACTTACTTTTCATCTTCTTAAAGTCACTTATAAGAACCTAATAATAAGCACCATGTCTTTCATGTTACAAAACAAGAAAATTAAAACAAAGTGTGTAAAGCTATTTATAAACATAAAGTAAGCAATTCCAAACAAGAGCCTAATAAGCACTATGTATCCTAAGTGGATTAAGTTCTTGTTCTTAAAAGATATTGAGAATAAAATTATTAGCACACCCGGTAGTTGCTACATTAAGTAAAATGAGTACTCAACTCATTGATTCTGATAAGATGAAGGATGAGCATCCTACTGGTCCTGATTTGGCGTTTATCATTTTATTCCTTCTTTGCTAGTCTTATTTTATTACTTGTTTCCTATTTAAGAATTTGAGCTATACTAACCTATGTACCATAACTGCATGTGTCTGATAACCTGTGATTGTAATTTCACAACCTATTGTCAAATACTATGATAATGAGTTGAATTTATCTTTTCTCTTTTTATTATCTTTAACAAACCCTATCTTGTTGTGCTACATCATTAACTAACTTGTATTCATGTCTAATTTCATGTATATCAGTTTCTGGGGAAAAAAAAAGCAAAAGCTTCAAATGGTGCTTAATCAGATATGCAGAAAAACAAGACGATATTGTCATCCTTTTTTTCTTGAAATAGACGACAATGCCATCCTTATTCTTGGACCATGAATAGATCAGAAAAGGCAAATAAATTCTCACCTCTTGAGTGTCTCTACTGTTAGTAACTGGCTTGTTATCATTATTTTCAAGTAGAATGTGACGAAATAGACTGTTGGGGACATCTTTTATAAGGTGCCACTTAACAGAGAACTGTCCAGACCACTTATCCTGTAGCCAATAATCCACACTCTTGTCAAAGTCTACAGGTCCCACCATCTCAGCAACTCCACAAAACTGGGCACTGGCATTTACCTGCACATTAAGAGGAATGATCAGCAAAATTTACTTAAGTTCTCAAGTTGTAGTATCTCTTAAATAGGCACAACATTTTCCTTTTATTTTCTTCATCCATAAAAAACCTCCAGATGTATGCATAGAGGTTAAACTAAGAGCTTCCTCGAAATTTTCATAAAGATCAGTCATAACAAAAAGAATATATCTAGTACATTTTACCAAACAGTCTTGAAGAAGTGCACTGGTCAACACCATGTATGATCAAACAAGCATGCAGGGAAAAGAGAGAAAAGAAACATCAAGGCAAAGAAACTGAATCAACAAGAGCATGTCTCAAGGCCCTGCAAGACTGATCTGGTGAGTGAAGGCAACTCCTAGGATGGAACTTTTTGCTTGGGAAGCAGCATGGCAGCGGATTCTTACTTTGGATAAGTGGATAAGAAGAGATAAAATTCTAGTGATTGGTGTTGTTTTTACAAGAAAGGTGCCCAGATATATAACCATATGCTCCTTTGGGGCCTGTATGTACACCGCCTTTGGTTTTGGCTTACAGATAGTTGGGGCTGAACTGGGTTATTGCCAGGACAATGAAAGGAGGAGCTTTGGGAGTAAAAAGACTTTCAAAGTGATAAGCAATCCATAAGGCTTATCCCTTGAGCTACCTTTTTCAGCTATTTGCAAAGAGAGAAATAGGAGGGATTTTGAGGGCATAGAATATAATTTTGATAGATCTAAGATCCATGGTTTCAGGTCCTAAGTTTTTCTATCAGGGGCCAGCCATTGTATTATAGCAAGGATCTTAAGGACCACATGACATTTTGTTATTTATGTAAATACTTTGTATGCGGACTGCACTCTTTGATGCTTTATGAATATACTATTTTTTTTCTTCTCCAGAAAAAGGCCTCTCTTGATTTTCATAAGCTATCAGTGTATATTAAGTACAAAAAAAATAAACACATAACTTTTAGCAATGCTACCAATCTAAGGTAACAAAATGTCCATATTCACATGCATGCACAAGAACAGAACCTGAGAATTTCAATTATAATCATACTAATATACACCTGTTTCATGACTACATCTAACCTGCATTGCTAAAACATTTAATTCCTCATATAATCATATCACCAACAGTTTCAGCCAAGTTATTCCTACATTATGAATTATAACCTTTATGTCATTTTTGAAGCCAAATTACCAAAAAAAAAGTCAGCCAATAAGTAAGAAAAATTACCGAAAATAGCAAAAAGATTGGGCATGGCTCCTCTTTCTCCTTCGCCTCATGATAAGCAGCATCAAGTTTTTTGTTTCCATTTGGTGTACTTGCCCAAACACCATATTTTATGCTCTTGTGAACGTTATCTTCACTATAAGATTTGATTATAAAGAATTTTGCATTCTTGTAGTCAGTGACAAAATCCAGTCCATTGTACAATTCAATATGAACATCATCAACTGTGCCATTCTTTCCACTACTAAAGAAAGGCCCATTTGCCATTGTTTGACCTTTTGGCCTAAATGCCCTAGGGCCTCTATTTCGCTCACTTAATGTATCAAGGGTAATAGTACAGCTGCAAGAAAAGTTGTTGCACCTTCCTCCTTGCCTTGCTTCATCAGGTGTGGGCCAGTTATGATCATCCATTCCCGAACTAGAATCAGATATACTTTGATAACCAGAGCCTCGATCACTTTGACTATAAGGATACCTTCTATACCTAAAGCTTGAAGATCCAAAACCATAGAAAGGCCTTTTCTGTTGAGAAGCCTGCACAGGATTTAGCAGTTAAATTGTCATAATATCAGCAGGCCATTCTGACAAACAGAAGGTGTTAGAAACTAAGACTGACATCAAATGCATTAGTGATATTCAACAATCAGTTTATACAGTGAAAACAAAATTAATTTGACATCAACCTAGGATAGGGTACTTTTCATTATCCACGAAAATGGCCTAGAACTAAAGTGGATTTAAAAAGATAACATTTCAGGATAGTAATACTTCAATTTTCCACAGTAAAATGTACAAAAATAACTGCACCACGGTCCACAAGAGTTACAAGCCAAACACAGCCATATGGAGATTAGATATTATTAAATCACACAGATTAAAACTTAGATTACTCATCGTGCCCATCTTTTTGTGTGTGGTACAACAATACGAATGTGACAGAGAATTTGAAAACATTAAACATGATTAATTTATACATGGCCTCCCTCTTTTAGCAACCCTACCAATGGCCTGCTGTCTTAGCCGAGGTGCAATCTGTTCTACTATTTTGCCTGGTTTTGAGTATTCACCGGCATGCTAGATGTGGCTGCAATCAGTCTGTGGTCCAAAGTGTTTCGAAGGTTCATCTGCAATCTGCTCCCTAGCCCCTCTTGTCAAGCTCCTAAATAGGAATAGGGTTGACCCCTCCCTCCTCGCAAAAACCTTTCAAAAGGATTAAAACGAGGACAGGAAATGACGTAGGCCAAGTTTTGCTCTGAAACTAGCCGATGTAGAATAAGTAGGGTTTGGAACCAACTGGTGTCGGACAAATTAATTTGGGTACCTTCTAAGATAAAAGAGAGAAATTGGAAGAAAATAACAATTTGAGCAAACAGTAGTTTGCAAATAAGGAAAGAGAAATGGTGCAAAAATAGAACTTAGGGACGGCACATAAAAGAGTTTAGGAAGAGCAAGGAGAGAAACACAGAGGAAATATTAGAAGAGGGACCTAAAAAATATAACGATATGAACAAGGAGGAGAAGGCTAGAAAAGTTTTTTGTATTCAGATGTCATGAACTACCTAGAAATCATTTAATCAGATGAGGAGAGAGGAGATACTGATGGAGCTTTTTCCAAGTATCATTAATGGAGTTCGTTAGGCTAAAGGAAAACAACTTCCCCATCTAAAAGGGATGTTTCTTTTCCCTTTTCTTTCCCTTACTGGCTTTATTTTCTGTTGTCTGGAAATAACCTCTAAAAAGTCTTTATTGTAAACCAACCAGACTCTGTCTAAACAAAGTACCCAAACTAAGTCTTAATTTCCTAAAACTACCAATATTTCGTAAATAACTAAATAACTTTTATTACGCACAAAAATACTAAAATGATATAACTGTCACAAAAATCTGATGCCAAAATTTTTCTAATTTTGATTCTTCTCATGATCCATAAGAGATATAAAAGGGAAAGGCAAATGAAATTTTCAACTTTTCTAGGTATTTTTAACAAGGAACGTCAGTTCCATCTTCAAGCTCGAAAGACAAGTCAGACATCATAAGAATTGCAAAAAGAATGCCAGCTCTGATGACCTATAAATATAAATATGTAAAAAGACTAACCATCCTAAAGTCAGTCCCAAATAACTCCAATGAACCTCTTGGCCTTGCAGAAGGTACTTGAGATGACAACTGAAATAAAGGACTCTTCCCATGCAATGATTTTGACCAATTTGACTGCGTCCCAACTCCAAAGTCATCAAACCCTTGCTGCAAGAAACTAAGGTCAGCAGAGGTTCCAGAAAAGTTACTTCCTCTGCCTGAAGAACCCAGCGGAGCTGGGGAATATGCTCTTGGTCCAGATTGTTTACCATCTACTTGAAAATCAATATCCACTGGCAACGATGGATGTGGAACTTGAGTCCATGAAGTAATGTAAGGATGGTTTTGAGGAAGAGGCTGCTGATAGTAAGGTGGATCCAGGGTAGGGAACACTGCTGCACTATACAACTGATTGTGATCCCTTATAGGAGGCGACTGCATTGTGACAGGATCATATGATCTTTGATGCATTTGGTTGCTGGATGGATAACCATGAAATGAAGGGGAGGGTATTTCATTGTAGATGCCCTACATCAGTTGAAGAAGTAAAAAGATATACATCTAGGAAGATTCACTTAGAAAGAAAAATTGCAAAGAAATGACAAGTTAGAGCTGTATAGCTACACACATGAGAACTACTTTCTGCACTTTCAACATTGACATATGGAAGATATCCACATCCACTCTGTGATCCAATTTCTTTGTCATAACCTGGGGGTAAAGACAATGAAACATAAGCTAAAAAGTGCAAAACCGCAAAGAATAAAGAAGCAGAAACTAGAAGAATTCCATACTCAATTTTTGTACCTAGCTTCCCAATAAACCACAAGGCCACCTTTTTTATAAGAGGCTGAGACTTAGCAACCTTAACTAACACCTCTATACTGTCTATACCATATCAAAAAATGAACTTTCAACCAATTGAAGAGTTAGCCCATAATCAAGCCCTTAGGTGGGTTTTCATAAAAAAATTTCGATAACTAAAAATCCAAAAGCTAAGTATAGACAACTTTATCAAGTCATAGAGTTACAGACTTATGTTCAAACAACAAGATTCTACCAACTCAAAGAGAATGGAGAGATAACAGTAAGCAAATTAGGAAACAAACCATTCAAAATTTTTTCTAGCCCCAGGGTCTTCTGAGATTTTATGTTTTGTGGATAACTTAAATACTTTTTACCAATGTGCATTACCAACTGCCAAAAAGTAAAGCAAGATCAATATTTTGTATAGATAACTTTATTGAGTCATATAGTCACAGACTTATGTTCACACAACAAGATTCTACCAGCTCAAAGAGGATTGAGCGATAACACAAAGCAAATTATGAAACAAAACCATTCAAACATTTTTCTAGCCCCATGGCCTTTTGAGATTTTATGTTTTGTAGATAACTCAAATAGTTTGTATCAATGCACATTACCAGCTGCC